CAAATAAGCAGATGAAACAAAGATCAGAGTGGAATTCAGTGAAATGGGAAACTACACCCTGCCAAAAAAAAAGGAAAATAAAACCAAAAACTTCTTATTTGAGAAGATCAGTAAAACTGGTAAACTTCTAGCTAGACTAATCAAGAAAAAAATGAGAGAAGACACAAAGTAATATCAGGAGTAAGAGGGTTAATATCAGTAGATTCTACAGATACTAAAATAATATTAAAAAGTTTATGCCAAAAAATTAAGCAACATGGATAAGACAGATTCTTCGACAAATTCAAGTTACCAAAGTTTACTCAAGAAAAAAAATAACCTGAATAGTCCTATGCCTATTAAATCACATTTGTAGTTAAAAAAAAAAAAAACCTTCCCACAAAGAAAACTCCTGTCCCACCCAGATGGCTTCACTGGTAAATTCTACCAGTCATTGAAGAAAGAGAAAATGCCAATCCTTGAAAAATTTTTCCAGAGACTGAGAATAAAGAAACCTCACAACAATGAGGCCAGCGGTATCCTGATACCAAAACCACACAATTACAAGGAAAAGAAAAGACAATACTCCAGACCAATAGCCCTTCTGAACGTAAATGAGAAAACTGCTACCATAATACTTAAGGATAATATGTCAAGACTAAGAGGGATTAGAGAACTGCAAGTTTGGTTTAATACTCAAAAATCAATGTATGTCACCATATTAACAGAGTATAAAGAAAAACAATAGAATCATCTCAATAAATACAGAAAAAGTGTTAGACAAAACCCCTTATCCATTGTTGATATCCATCCACCTACCAAGAACAAAAAGGAAGTAATTCTGCCCGACACAAAGCCTATACTTATCATTATACTTAATGGTGAAAGAATGAATGCTTTCCCCTTGAGATGGGGAACAAGCCAGTGACACCCGCTCTTGCCACTTGTTTCACATTGTAGTGGTAGTCTAGACAAAAAAGAGAAAAACATCCTGGCTGAAAAGGAAGAAGCAAAATTGTCTATATACACAAATAACATTGATAATCTATGTAGAAAATGCAATGGAATCTACAAAAAAAAGCACTAGAACGATATGTGAGATTAGCAAGGTTGCAGGATACAAGATCAAAATACAAAAATCAGTTGCACAGGTTGCATATCCCTAATCCAAAAGTCTGACACCTGAACTACAAAGGAAATCCTTATTGCAGCATTTTAGATTTTCTGATTAAAGAGGCCCAACCATCAAAGGCAAATGCAAATGTTCCAAAATTCAAAAAAGTCCAAAATCCAAAACACTTCTGATCTCAAGCATTTTGACTAAGGGAGACTCAGCCTATATTTCTATATACTAACAACAATCAATCAGGAATTGAAACTTAAAAAATAATACCATGTGCAACAGTATCCCCAAAAATGAAATACTTGGGGATTCATTTACACAGACCTGTACACTGAAAATCATAAAACACTGCTGAGAGAAATTAGAGAAGACTTAAATAAATTGAGAGGTATATCATGTTCATGGATCTGAAAAATTCGATATTGTTAAGATGCCAATTCTTCCCAAATTGATCAACAGATTTAAAACAATCCTCATCAAAACCTCAGGAGGGACATTTTTGTACAAATTGGCATATGATTCTAAAATTCATATGGAAATGCAGAGGACCTAGGATAACGAAAACAACTTTGAAAATGAACAAAGCTGGCTGGGCACAGTGGCTCACGCCTGTAATCCCAGCACTTTGGGAGGCTGAGGCGGGCGGAACACGAGGTCAAGAGACCGAGGCCAGCCTGGCCAGCATGGTGAAACCACGTCTCTACTAAAAATACAAAAATCAGCTGGGCATGGTGGCACACACCTGTAGTCCCAGCTACTCGGGAGGCTGAGGCTGGAGAATCACTTGAACGTGGGAGGCAGAGGTTGCAGTGAGCCGAGATCGTGCCACTGCACTCCAGCCTGGCAACAGAGAGAGACTCCATTTCAAAAAAACAAAAAAAAAAAAAGGAAAAAGGAACAAAGTTGGAGAACTTAAATCATCTGACTTCAAGATTTACAAAGCTACAGTAATCGAGATAGGCGATATTGTTTTCAAGATAGAGATTATGGAACGTAACAGAGAATCCAGAAATAAACCTCCACATTTGTAAACTGACTCAACAAAAGTGCTGAAGCAATTCAGTGAATAAAGCTAGTGTTTCCAACAAATGGTTTAAGAACATTTGGATATCCATACACAGACACACACACACACACACACAAAATTACCTTGGATCTACATTTGAACCATATTTTTAAAAACAAAAATGAATCACAGGTCTAAATGTACAACCTAAAACTGTGACAACTTCTAGCAGAAAACACAGGAGAAAATCTTTATGCCTTTGGATCAAAGATTTCTTAGATATGATACAGAAAAAAGTAAAACTTAATAAATTCACTTGATCAAAATTTAAAATTTCTGCTCTTCAAAATACTCTGCTAAAAAGATTGAAAAGATTACCTACAGAGTAGAAGAAAATATTTCTATACACCTCATATTTTTTTTAAAAAACTTGTATCCAGAAACGTAGGCAAACTTAGTAACACGATGAGTGCAGTGGCTCACGCATGTAATTCCAGCACTTTAGGAGGCCAAGGTATGCAGATTGCTTGAGCTCAGGAGTCTGAGACCAGCCTGGGCAACATAGTGTACCCCATCTCTACAAAAAATATAAAAATTAGCCAGGCATGGTGACATATGCCTGTACTACTTGGGAGGCTGAGGTGGGAGGATCACTTGAGCTTGGGAGGTTGAGGTTGCAGTGAGCTGTGATAGTGCCAGCCTGGGTGACAGCAAGACTCTGTCTCAAAACAAAACCCAACAATTTAAAAATGAGTCAAGATTTGAATAGACACTTGACCAGTGAAGATACATGGATGGCAAATAGGCACCTTAAAAGATACACAACCTCGCTAGTCATTAGAGAAATGCACATTAAAACCACAAAGAGCTATCACTGCACACCTATTAGGATATTTAAAATTAAAAAGTCTAACCATACCAAGTATTGGCAATGATGTGGAGCAACCAGAACTCTCATACACTTCTGCTGGGAACACAAAATGGTCAAACCACTTTGGAAAACATTTTGGCAGTTTCTTAAAGATAGAGCTACCATATGACCCATTCTTAGGTGTGAAAACCTATGTCCATACAAAAGTTTGTACATGAATGTTCATAGCAGCTTTCTTTATAATAAGAAAGACACTGGAAACAACCCAAAAGTACATCAACAGGTGAATGGATCAGCACCTTGTAGTATATCCTTGAGGTGGACTACTACTCATCAAAAGAGAGTGACCTACTGATACACGCAACAACATGAATGAATCTCTGATGTGCTAAGTAAAATAACCCAGACATACTATATGATTCTATTTATATGAAACTCTAGAACATGCAAACTATAATGACAGAAGGCAGATCAGTGGCTGCCTTGGCATGGGTGAGAACAGGAGGGAATGACAAAGGGGCATAAGAAAACTTGGTGATAATCTCACTATCTTAATTGTAGTCATGGTTTCTCAAGTGTATGCCTATGCAAAAAAATTTATCAAATTGTGCACCTTAAATGTGCAGTTTTTTATCAGTTATGCCTCAGGAAAGCTGTTTTTTTTAAAAAAAAACTAAGTAAATTTCTGAGGATTAGAGGATGCATTACATAATAGAGTTAACATTTGAAATTCATGGAACTGTTTTTCTTTTTTTTTTTTTTTTTCTCGCTCTGTCACCCAGGCTGGAGTGCAGTGGCCGGATCTCAGCTCACTGCAAGCTCCGCCTCCCGGGTTTACGCCATTCTCCTGCCTCAGCCTCCCTGAGTAGCTGGGACTACAGGCGCCCGCCACCTCGCTCGGCTAAGTTTTTGTATTTTTAGTAGAGACGGGGTTTCACTGTGTTAGCCAGGATGGTCTCGATCTCCTGACCTCGTGATCCGCCCGTCTCGGCCTCCCAAAGTGCTGGGATTACAGGCTTGAGCCACTGCGCCCGGCTGGAACTGTTTTTCTAAAACCTTTTAATTGTTGAAACAAAAACAAATGTGCTTTTCTTCAGGCACCAGTAATAGACTTTATCAGTCTTGGAATTGTCATCTAAATGTTTTAAAATTAGATTCTCCATGAGCAGAAATGTAGAAGCAAGAGATGAGAGACCGCCCTAGATTAGAATCCCAGGCCCATCACTTACTTCTTGCTAGTCCTTAGGGACTTAAGTCTCTAAACTTCAGTTTCGTCATAATTAGAACTGGGATGGTACCCCTTGTAAGTTGGTTTAGAGGTTTAGCTATAGCATAGGTAAAGGACCTAGCACAATACCTGCTATTAATAGGTGTTCAAAAAATAGTATCATCTTTATCTCGTGAGTTTTGGTCAAGTATTTACTGCACAGCAGAGTAACTGACTTTCCACCAAAGGAATGAAAATCAAGAATCCTAACCATGAAATAGGGCTGCTGGAAAGCCCCAGAGCTTTGCTCAGAATCTAACATTCTGATTTCCACTACAGAGCCTACCTCTGTCCTTCACTAGAAAAATCAATGTAGCAATGAAAGAAGGTACAAGGTATAGGGGAAAATCCTTCTGTATAAACACTACTGATCAATTTGATCAGAAATGATAAGAAAAGTCTCCATTATCAGCATTTACTAGTATCTTAAGAAAATGTCCAAGGATAACAAACCAGCCTCTCTTTATGGTCTCTACTGATCTTGGGGCGTATTTCCAGAAAGCTGAGAACACCACACACGATGGCACAGTTTTCACCACTTGTTTTAACCCAGGGAAGGAGAGCAGACTCAGACTCTTGATTTTACAGGCTGAAGACAGGAGGGCAAAGTACTTCCTGAGACCATGTGACAAGTCTGACCTGTGGTGGGTCCCGGGTCCACTCTGCCCAAGGCGACTTCCCCCAGACCCAAGCTGCTTGGAAAGCAGTGTTTGCGGGGAGCCCACCCCTCTGAACCCAGGACCATTTTTCTTACCTGAGTCTCGGTGGATTGTTCTAGCTCTCTTCAGTTTTCCCAGTGGTTTATACTTTGGCTCCATACTTTGGGAAGACCGGCATAAAGGCTTTAAGCTGAAATGAATCAGAATATTTGATTTTTCCTTCTGGGGAAGTTGTTAGAAGGTAGGCATCATTGATAGTGTTAAAAAATTTTTTTGTTTTTATTTTTTTGTTTTTTTATTTCTTGGATCCCTGTGTTTTTAACAAAATCTTGACCATAAGGGAAATCACACAACTACTCTGGAGGATTGAAAAGCAGTTCTAAACTGATTTCGTAGTTAAAAATCACTTCGATGTAATAAAGTGGTAAATATAAGCACTTAAATGCAACCTGGTAGGTGTGTATCTTATTATTACATCAGTAGACTAAGGCAAAACTTAAGATCTAATACAAAAAAAAGATGCAAAAAGAGCAGGTCCCTATCCTGAAAACCATTAATACAGTGGCATCCTCTGGCATTCAGGATACAGTATAACTAGCTGCTTCCCGTAGGGTTTTACTTATTTCTCACAGGAATCTCTGCAAATTTATCTTGTCATTCTAGGTCCTTAGGCTGAAAGCTAAGGCAAAGTGGAGATAAGATACAAAAAGGCAGAAAAATAAGATTTGAAGCTGTCCTACCCCTTTTGAAGGCCTCACTGCCAACTGCCGCCTCCTGGCAGATTCTGGGACGCCTTTAGGATGATCTACAACATACCATTTGAACAGGGCCATGAAGTGCCCAACCTGAAACTTATTTACAGCCACCCCCATTTTACATCCTTGACCCTGTTTCCACAGCTGTTCTCTGGATCCATCCCCTTCAACCTTTCCAGGAGTTCTCATCCATTACTGTGTCTCTTTACAGTCATTTCAGCTATTCTTCTGGGTTAACTTTTCAAAGTAAGGTCGTCTTCCCCCACCTACCTACAACAGAATTGTCTGCTAGAAATGGAGGATTGGGGCTGGGCACGGTGGCTCACGCCTGGAATCCCAGCACTTTGGGAGGCCGAGGTGAGTGGATCATTTGAGGTCAGGAATTCAAGACCAGTCTGGCCAACATGGTGAGACCCTATCTCTACTACAAATACAAAAATTAGCCAGGCCTGGTGGTGGGCACCTATAATCCCAACTACTCACAAGGCTGAGGCAGGAGAATTGCTTGAACCCAGGAGGCGGAGTTTGCAGTGAGCCGAGGTTGCACCACTGCACTCCAACCTGGGTGACAGAGCCAGAATCTGTCTCAAAAAAAAAAAAAAAAAAAAAAAGGCAGGGTGAGGAATATGCATTTTAACAAGCACCTCGGCCGGGCGCGGTGGCTCACACGTGTAATCCCAGCACTTTGGGAGGCCAGGGCAGGCGGATCACGAGGTCAGGAGATTGAGACCATCCTGGCTAACACGGTGAAACCCTGTCTACTAGAAATACACAAAATTAGGCTGGCGTGGTGACGGGCACCTGTAGTCCCAGCTACTCGGGAGGCTGAGGCAGGAGAATGGCGTGAATCCGGGAGGCGGAGCTTGCAGTGAGCTGACATCGCGCCACTGTACTCCAGCCTGAGCGACAGAGCCAAGACTCCGTCTCAAAAAAAAAAAAACAACAACAACAACAAAAACAAGCACCTTAAGTGATTCCTGAACACGTCCAAGTATATATGTATTCAAGTTTAGTTCTACAGACATATTGAAGTCTCAGCTGTTTTAAGATCAAGCCTTCTGATTGTTGCCTCCTGTTGCCATCTTGTCTCTAACTTTCCCTTCACTGTCAAACTTTTTATACAGTCTGTCCTCAGTATTTTCCATTTCCTCACTTTTTACCCATTTCTCAACTAAAATCTGGCTTGTAACTCACAAGTCCACTGAAATTGCTCTCACTGAGCACACACAAATGACCTAATTACCAAGGAAACAGGACACCTGGTAGTCACCATATTATTTAACTTCTCAAGACACTCCATGGGCACCCTCTGCTTACCCTTCCCTTTGCTCTCATCCTGCTGTCTGGGCCACTCTCTCCATCTCAGCCCAGCTCCTCCTCCTCCACTTCTCCCTTAAATGTGCTGCCCAGGGTTCTGGCCTCAGCTCTGTGATCCCTCCTCCCACTCCTGGTGACTTCTTCTGTCCTCATGGTTTCAGTTCTCACCTGCACTGCCAACTCCAAATCTGTGTCTCCAACCCAGACCTCTCTCCAGAGATTGTCCATCCTCCTCTCCATCGACATCTGCAAGCCTGGTCCTATTATGTCCTCATCGGGGTCTGCGAGGCAGATTCCCTGACAAGGGGCCTCGTTCCTTCTGCACCCATCGAGCTTGTGTGCTGCCTTTGCACCTGGCCTCTCCATGAGACTGGAGCTCTGCTAGGACAGGGGGTGTCTTAGGCAACCTGGAACCCAAGCTCCATTCCCACCATATGGCTGGCACTAAAGAAATCATTTCATGGGCCGGGTGCAATGGCTCATGCCTGTAATCCCAACACTTTGGGAGGCTGAGACAGGTAGATCACTTGAGCTCGGGAGTTCAAGACCAGCCTGGTCAACATGGCAAAACCCCGTCTCTACTAAAAATACAAAAATTAGCCAGGTGTGGTGGTGTGCACCTGTAATCCCAGCTACTCGGGAGGCTGAGGCTGGAGAATCACTTGAACGTGGGAGGCAGAGGTTGCAGTGAGCCGAGATCGTGCCACTGCACTCCAGCCTGGCAACAGAGAGAGACTCCATTTCAAAAAAACAAAAAAAAAAAAAGGAAAAAGGAACAAAGTTGGAGAACTTAAATCATCTGACTTCAAGATTTACAAAGCTACAGTAATCGAGATAGGCGATATTGTTTTCAAGATAGAGATTATGGAACGTAACAGAGAATCCAGAAATAAACCTCCACATTTGTAAACTGACTCAACAAAAGTGCTGAAGCAATTCAGTGAATAAAGCTAGTGTTTCCAACAAATGGTTTAAGAACATTTGGATATCCATACACAGACACACACACACACACACACAAAATTACCTTGGATCTACATTTGAACCATATTTTTAAAAACAAAAATGAATCACAGGTCTAAATGTACAACCTAAAACTGTGACAACTTCTAGCAGAAAACACAGGAGAAAATCTTTATGCCTTTGGATCAAAGATTTCTTAGATATGATACAGAAAAAAGTAAAACTTAATAAATTCACTTGATCAAAATTTAAAATTTCTGCTCTTCAAAATACTCTGCTAAAAAGATTGAAAAGATTACCTACAGAGTAGAAGAAAATATTTCTATACACCTCATATTTTTTTTAAAAAACTTGTATCCAGAAACGTAGGCAAACTTAGTAACACGATGAGTGCAGTGGCTCACGCATGTAATTCCAGCACTTTAGGAGGCCAAGGTATGCAGATTGCTTGAGCTCAGGAGTCTGAGACCAGCCTGGGCAACATAGTGTACCCCATCTCTACAAAAAATATAAAAATTAGCCAGGCATGGTGACATATGCCTGTACTACTTGGGAGGCTGAGGTGGGAGGATCACTTGAGCTTGGGAGGTTGAGGTTGCAGTGAGCTGTGATAGTGCCAGCCTGGGTGACAGCAAGACTCTGTCTCAAAACAAAACCCAACAATTTAAAAATGAGTCAAGATTTGAATAGACACTTGACCAGTGAAGATACATGGATGGCAAATAGGCACCTTAAAAGATACACAACCTCGCTAGTCATTAGAGAAATGCACATTAAAACCACAAAGAGCTATCACTGCACACCTATTAGGATATTTAAAATTAAAAAGTCTAACCATACCAAGTATTGGCAATGATGTGGAGCAACCAGAACTCTCATACACTTCTGCTGGGAACACAAAATGGTCAAACCACTTTGGAAAACATTTTGGCAGTTTCTTAAAGATAGAGCTACCATATGACCCATTCTTAGGTGTGAAAACCTATGTCCATACAAAAGTTTGTACATGAATGTTCATAGCAGCTTTCTTTATAATAAGAAAGACACTGGAAACAACCCAAAAGTACATCAACAGGTGAATGGATCAGCACCTTGTAGTATATCCTTGAGGTGGACTACTACTCATCAAAAGAGAGTGACCTACTGATACACGCAACAACATGAATGAATCTCTGATGTGCTAAGTAAAATAACCCAGACATACTATATGATTCTATTTATATGAAACTCTAGAACATGCAAACTATAATGACAGAAGGCAGATCAGTGGCTGCCTTGGCATGGGTGAGAACAGGAGGGAATGACAAAGGGGCATAAGAAAACTTGGTGATAATCTCACTATCTTAATTGTAGTCATGGTTTCTCAAGTGTATGCCTATGCAAAAAAATTTATCAAATTGTGCACCTTAAATGTGCAGTTTTTTATCAGTTATGCCTCAGGAAAGCTGTTTTTTTTAAAAAAAAACTAAGTAAATTTCTGAGGATTAGAGGATGCATTACATAATAGAGTTAACATTTGAAATTCATGGAACTGTTTTTCTTTTTTTTTTTTTTTT